GGAAACCAGACACAGAACATATTCTTCTCAGCATCTTGATGCTCATGACAAGAACAAAATGTCTGTGACATTAAAAGGCCTGATCCAGTTATGTATGATATAGTCTGCTAGTTCTGGATGGCTTAAATGATTCAAGAATTATTCACGGCATAATGTGGAAATGAGTGGCAAACCTGTGAGTGCTGAAGTAAAGGCAAGTGAAAATTTTTTGGAAGAGAAAATCACTTGCTAAAACAAATATTCAATGTGGTTAAAGCCCCCCTGTTTTAGAAATGGACGCCTGAAGACTTTTTTCGTAAGAAGGCCAACTCAATGCCAGGTTTCATGATTGTAAGGACAGGATACAATTTTCACTTGGGGGCATTGTGCAGGCCACCAAGTACGCACTATTTTCAAGCACATTAATAAGCACACACTGCCAGTGTACCACAGGAGTGGCAAGACATCTTGGCAAACCCAGCTTCTCTCCAAGATGCCCTCCTGAATTGCTGTGTCAGCAAAATTGTTAAGTTCTTTTTGGAGAATAACATTTCTTTTAAGATTTTGATTATTAGCCCCCTAACATTTCTTTTAAGATTTTGCTTATTAGCCCCTTTTTATTATTGTTTTTCATCCCAGCACCAAAATGGTATTTCTTCCTCCATGGACCACCTCTTTATCAAAACAGTGGACCATGGAGCTATAGCAGCTTTAAAGTTGTTGAGGAGAAATTTTGCCCAGGCTATTGCTATAACTGAGCCACTGATGCATTTCTGGGAGGACTGAACACCTAATGGTATCAAGTGCCTATGTGGGGTAGAGTGATATTACCGATAGGTATAAGAGTGGCAACTGGGAGAAGTCACTCAAGAGGTTTGTCTGTGACTTAAATGATTTGTCCAGGATGAAAAGTTAGCAAAAATTGACAAGACTGTGCTTGAAATCTCAAGCACCTTTATGCTGGGCTTGCAATCAAGCTCCACTCACAGGAAATGCCCTGTATAGGTGAATTTTTTTTTAAACTTTTTTTTGGGTACCCTATTTTTACTGTACTTTTTCTATATCTAGATTCACAAATAACTGTCTAGGCATCATGTTACACTTGCCTGTATTATTCACTCTAGTAACTTGTATAGGTTTGTAGCCTAGGAAAAATAGGCGAATGCTGTGTAGCCTAGGGCTATGTAGAACCATCTAGGGTTGGATAAGTGCATTATGACATTTGCATCATCACCTGATGACCCCTAATGACTGTATTCCCATTGTTAAGTTATATATTACCATAAACTTTACCTCCTAATGTCTTTGCCAATCTCCCTTTTAAAAATATAATGGTCTTAAATATTTCCTCTACATAAATCCTAGTACCATTTTAGGAAGTGTTGTAATTTTTGGTTCATATATCAAATACAATTTAGAAAACTCAAGGAAGGCCTGTTATATTTACCAATTTTGCTTAATGTGTTCTTTAACCCTTTCTGGGATCCAAGATTTCCCCTTTTTTATTTACTTTTTTGTCGAGAACTTCCTTTGGCAATTCAGTTAGGGTAGGTCTGCTGCTGACAAATTTTTCTATTTTGCCTTCATCTTAAAATGTCTTGATTTTTTCTTTATTCTTAAAGAGTAAGATTACCTTTCACTAGGTTGACTTTTTTTCTTCTACCCTTTGAACAATACTGTGCCACTTTTCTTCTGGCCTCAATTTCTGATGAGAAATCCTCTGTCATGGCATTTTATGTCTGTGTATATGCTTGTGGTGGTTTTCTCTGCCTTCAAGATTTTTGGGGAGTGGTGGAGGGAGGGATGATGTCTTGACCTTCCCAAAGTTTAATTGTCAGTTATCTTGGATTTCTTCAATTTGATCCTGTTTGAGGATTTGTAGGTTTGTGTCTCTTTCCAATTTGGGAGTTCTTATTTCTTTGAGCTTTTTAAGTCTCAAACTCTTTTATTTTTAATTATTTTCTTACATCACTGTACATTTTTGTACAATGTGTAATTTTGCCTCTTATGTGCAGTCCCCATAATTCTTTTATCACCATGTCATCCATTACTCTCCCCAGAGCACCTGGGCTCTCCCCTCCTCTGTTTTGGCCCATCTCCCCCTCCCCCCCAACCTTGCTGTGGTTTGCCTTGTTTTTTCTTTTCCTGGTCCCTTGTTTGTTCTGTTTCCTATATTGCCCCTATAAGTGAGGCCACTGTATATTTTTATATTTACTTCTGACTTATCTTGCTTAGCAAAGTCCCTTCCAGCTCCATCCATGTTGCCACAAATAAGCCTCAAATACTTTTCCTCTCCTTCCAGGATTTATAATAACAAGAATTTCAGGTCTTTTGCTTTAGTCCCATCATTGTTGATGCTATGTATACTTGCTCTTTTTAAGTGTGTGTGTATTTTCTCTCTTGTTCAGATGGAGTATTTCTGTTGTTCTGTCCTTTTAGTGGTTGAACCTACTGACTGAGATTTTTATTTCAGTTACTATGTTTTTTCAGTTCTAAAGTTTCTACTTGTTTATATATATCTTCTGTTTCTTTGCTGAGATTTTTTTCTTTGTTGAGCCATTCATTTTTATTTAAGTATGTTCATAACTACTCATTAGGGTATTTATTGTACCTGCATTAAAATAATTGTCGCCTAATTCTAATGTCTCTGACATCCTGGTTTTGGCTGTTGATTGTGTTTATTCACTTTGACATCTTTCTGGTTTTGGATGTGCTAAGTTACCTTCAACTAAAACATGAACATTTTTATGTTATGAGAGTCTGGTTGTTCTCTTTAAGCTGAACTTCTCTGATACACCACTGGGGAGGGTGATGGTATAGAGGCTGTCTTGTTACTGCCAGGTGACCATGGAAGTATCAGCTCCCCATTTGATTTCCAATGACAGCTAATGCTGCGGGTGCCCCTGTTACTGCTGTGCAGGGATTTGTTAATGCTTTGTGGGCTGGGGGTTCCAGCTTCAAATTGCCCTGTGGCGCTGGCCAGTGGTTACTGTCAGACTCCACAGTATCTGTTTGTTACCACTGCAGTCGCGGTCCTCCTTGCGGTGCCTGCTTACTGTGGGTAGACACAGGCCCGGATGACGTCTCCTCTGATCCAGCAAGGAGGAGGACCTGTTATGACGGTGGGCATGGAAATCTTGGCTCCCTGCTATTCTCTAATACCACTTCAATGGGAGTGCTGGGGTGCCTGAGTATAGCTCCTACAGTCTAGGCTCCCTTCTTTTTTTTTTTTAAAGATTTATTTATTTGTGCACACAGAACTGGGGTACAGGCCAGAGGCTCAGGGGCGGTGGGAGGCTTCACCAGAGACAGCAGAGAACAGAACAAGCAGATCAACGAAGTACACTGCTGAGGGGAGCAGCAGGCGGGTCAGGAGAGGTCCGCCACACCACGTGGTCACCTTGGGGGCAGGCAGGAATCTAACTCATGCGGAAGCGGCTTTAGATTCTCAGTGCTGGGCTTTAACCTGCTGCACCACCAGGGAGGGCCTAGGCTCCCTTCTTAGTATTGCCAGCATAGATTGGGATAGGTGCTGGTTTTTTTTTTTTTCCTATAGTTGTTAGTGCCTGAAAGTTCTCTGTTTTCTTAGGCTACCTTTTCCTGTGGCTAGAGAGCTTTTGGGGAGGCTTTTCTGGGCTGTGTCTGGTGTTTGTGGATTGCCAGCTTCTTTAGCTTCAAGCCCAGGAAATGCACCACTGTGTTGTCTCATCAGACCTTGAGGTTACAAACTGGCCTGTCATCATTCCACTTTTTGGTCTTATGTTTGTTTTATATATTTAGTGTCTGGTTTTTACTTCTACCCAGCATTTGGTATAGTGGCATCAATGTCAACATTTTAGAAGTGGGAGTCTTCTCAATAAATTTTTAGGTACCAAGTATTCGTTCAATTTCAGTGTATTTTGAAAATGATTATTTCATTTACTAGGTGGCTGCTGGCTAAAATTGTTCTCTTTTTCAAGTTTTACATAATTTCTGATCATTTGAAATTTAATTTCAAGCTGTTTGTTAAGGTATCTTGAATATAATCACCCCTAAATCTTTTATATATAAGCTGAAGGCCCAGTTGGCATTTTATTTTATTTTTGAGCTTCTTTCAGAAGACTTAGGTTGGTATGTAATGGGACCTCTAGCCATATATGTGCTAGAAAATGCCAAAGAGACAAGTAATAATGCATGTTTTCTCATGGTACATTACTAAGCCTGGAAAAGGTAAGTCAGCACAAATGTGGTAAATGTGTCGTAAGTGGCTAATAGCAACTCTTTTTCATCTGTGATATTTTATATTAAGTTATTCTGTGAATGACTTCTTAAATAAATATAGAGATTTGAATCATTTTTGCTTCCTAAAATTACCTAGCATAGTATCAGGAGAGATATTATTCCTGTTATTTTTTTTTATTGTTTTCATGTAATACTGAGATACAGTGAAAGAATTGAATTGTGCATGATCTTTCTGATTACATTATACAAACAAGGTACTTGGAATGGCTGCTGATTTTTATATGTGTGTGGTAGTAGAGGCCATTGATTGTTTAGCTTGTAGAAGTGACTCTAAGTTGGGTTGGTGTGTTTTAAAACTGGTGTGTTTTTTAAATATGGAGTATTTTTCTACCCTCAAATTAGAATATGTTGCTAGACTTAAATACTGTACTCAATTGAGTATCTGTGAAGATGGTCATTTGGAATAAGCATCTCTCTCAACTTTTGGGAGGGGGCAAAATCAGGAAATTGATTTGTGCAGAATGAAAGAGAGTAGATCAGTAATCAAGTGTTGGTACTCTTAGCCAGTTTTGTGTGTGTGTGTGGTTTTTTGAAAGTGATAAATGATGGCACCTTGCTGGAAATGGAGCAAATGGAAATGTTGATTAGAAATACCTACTAGATCTTTCCATAAAACACTTTACATTTGCACTTTACGTTAGTGGTCTTTTAAAGTTTAAGAAGTGATTGTAATAAACCTCGTATATTATATCCCTTCCTTTAAAAGACTGATTGTATTTACCCTAAATTATAACCTGTAGGGTGCCGGTATAGAAATATATCCTGGGAGTAAGTGCACCTTGAGTGACAATGGAATCCATCACTGCAAGGAAGGAATACTTATTAAGGTGAGCACCTGCTGAAACATCCTTTTCTAATGGTTAGAGTTATTTTACCTAAGAAATAATTATTTTTTATTAAATTCCAATGTTGGATTCTATTTTTTTTTTTTTTTGCTTTTGAAATTTATAAGTAGTATATAAATTTTTTAAAAATACTTATTCATGTTTATAGAACTGGGGTACAGGACAGAGGTGTGTTGGGTGAGAGGATTTATCAGAGACAGAATGGGGAGCAGAACAGGCAGACTGACAAAGTACACTGCTGGAGGTAGCAGCGGGCAGGTCAGAAGATGTCTGCCGTGCCATGTGGGTCAGCTCCCTGGCCAGATATCAAACTCGTGCTGTAGTGGCTTCAGAGAGCTTCATAATGTGGTGCTTTAACCTTTTGCACCACCAGGGAGAGCCCATTATAGTAAATAATTTTTTTTTTTTTAAGATTTATTTATTCATATAGAACTGGGGTACAGGCCAGAGATGCGGAGGGTGAGAGGATTCAACAGAGACAGAGTGGGGAGCAGAACAGGCAGATCGACGAAGTACACTGCTGAGGGGAGCAGTGCGTGGGTCAGGAGAGGTCTGCCTCGTCATGTGGACTCCTCCTGGGTAGGTGGGAATCGAACTCATGCGAAGGTGGCTTAAGCTTCTTAGTGCAGTGCTTTAACCCGCTGTGCCACCAGGGAGGGCCTATAGGATATAAATTTTAATAAAATTTTGGTGGTGATTGAAGTCTCATGTGAGAAAGCTTTGCCTGTCTATGGATCTGTAAAATCACAGAAGAATGCTGTGTCACTTAGAGCTCAGACTATGTTCCCACATATTAATAAGCATAGCTTTTCTACTTTATTTTTAGATGAGCCTAAAAAAATGTGAGAAGATTTTTAAAGCAGGCAGTGTTGAATGTGACAGTTTCTTAAAACATTTGTTTTCAATGTCACAGGACTTCTTAGATGAACATTATGACATTCCCAAAATATCTATGGTGAATAATGTCATACATAATAATGAAGGTTATGGTGTTGTCTTGGTGAAGCCTACCATTTTCTCTGACCTGCAAGAAAATGCCCAAGATGAAACTGTAGGTAAGATTATATTTAGTCATTTTTTTTGTTATAAAAACCAGATCTAATTTATTTACGTTTTAAACTGATTAATCTTCTGAGCCTTCTTCCCTTCTTTACAAAAGATAACTAGCTGGCATATGTTTGGGCATGGTGGTAGAGAAACTTAGAAAGGCTGTAACATTACAGACTCTCAAGCTGAAAGAAACTTTCAAGGTCAAGTTCACTTGTTCATTCAAGACCTTGAGGTGTGGTTTTTGTGATGTTACAGTTCCCTTCTTATCATGTTTGACTTTATAAATTTATAGGCTTAGGAATAGGCCCATGATAACAATGGTGGCTGTGCTGTCATTTTTCAAGGATGAAAGCAGAGAAATTAATGTGCCAGGCTGCATTTGCAGCAATGGTTTGTAGAAATTTCTTCTATTTTTTTATTAGTAGAAGTAAAGGCCTCCCTGTCACCTGCCTTTCTTGGCAGTAAAGTGGAACTAACTCAGTGGGAAATTCATGAATTTTAAACCATGACCTAGATCACTGTGAAATCTCAGTCTTAGAGAAAGATTAATAATTGACATAGGTGAGGAAAATTCAAAGGATCAGCATGAGTAGCCCTCATTTTCCTTCAGGATCTGCTCTAGTTACATTTCTGGGAGTTCTTTTTCTCCTTGAAGATTTGTGAGTCAGAAGTCCAATGGGGCGTGGTTGGTTTTGTCCTCAAAGGGCAAATTTGAGGTGTCAGCTGGGTAGGGCTTTTATTTGATAGCTGTAGGGGAAGAATCTACTTCCCAGCTCATTCGTGTTTGTGAAATCCAGTTCCTTGAGGTTGTAGAACTGAGGTTTTCATTTTCTTGCTGGGCATTAATGTCCACAATTAGAGGCCACGGGTCCTTATCCCATGATCACCTCCATCTCTCCAACAGAGAGCCCTTTTCCAGGCATGGTGATATGTCGAGTGTCTCTTGTGCTTCCCTTTACTTCATCCAGCCAGAAAAAAAAACACAAAACCCTGCTTTAAGTGTTCATCTAATTGGAGAAAGCACATCTAACTCATTATCTTTCTCTAAGTTCAACTGATTAGTGACCTAATCCATTTGCAAAATTCTCTTGCTTTTTAACAGCATTGAAAGGAACAGCAGCAGGCCTAGGCATTATCTGAGACATCAAGATTTCTACCCAGCATTAATGTTTGCTTAGCTGCTGACGTGAGCTACTTTTAGGGAAAGTAGTACTGTTTTATTTACCTTTGAATCCAACTCCTAACAAAGTGTTTAGTAGATAAGTAAGAACCAGGAAGTGTGTGGGAATAATGAGATTGTAGGATTAAAAAAATAATAATTCAAAGGTAGTCTGTGAACTAAGAAAATCTTGATGTGAAGAGAAGACAACTGTTCATTTAGATTCTTCAGCCAAGAATTTGTAAAATCCAGTCAAGATGGCAGCAGGAACCCCAGACAGGAAAAATTCAAAAGCTCTAATATATGGTAGGAATGTATGTTTTATTTGGGTTAGTTTGTATTCTTAACTTTATTTTCTACAATTTCTTTCTCTAGAAAATAAAACACTTAAGATTCAGACAAATGAAGAGGGAGAAGCAGCTGAAAGATTGGATCTAGAAGAACTCATCCAATGCGCAACTGGTAAAATGGAGTTCTATACCAGAGCTGACCTTGCTGAGCAAATCGAGGGCAATTGTGAAATTGTGAGTGAGCTAGTTGCAGCCTCCACACAAAAGGGCCAGATGAGGAAGAAAAGGTTGAGTGAACTGGGGATCACACAAGCTGATGACAACCTAATGTCACAGGAGATGTTTGTCTCGATTATGGGGAACCAGTTCAAGTGGAACGGAAAAGGGAGTTTTGGCACATTTCTCTTCTGACCACAAAAATGTAAATAAATAGCAAAATACTGTATTTTGCACATACTACCCCAACAATCACTGCTGCTATTGTAGTTTGCTTCATGTCTGTCTGTATTTTATATTTGATATATGATTGGATTTGAGTGATAATGTAGGTTTATTTCTATCTGTGGGTGTTGCACATAAAACATTCCCTCTTCATAAGAAAGGTCATAAAAAACCTGCAATAGAAAAATATTTCTGTTTAGAAGTGCCTTTCTTAAGTAAATGGTTCTCCTGAAGCCTATTAGTAACTTTCTAGTGTAAATACACTTTAATCTAGCACTTGAGAGAAGGAAGAAAAGAAGGATATAGAAGATGAGTACACAAAAATGCAGTAAGTGTCAAATGTGCAGTGTTCTTTTTCCAGTTGTCTTTTTATCCCAATTATAGTGAGTCTGATTTCCATGCTGCATTTGCATAATACTGTCTTAAAATAAAAGCTTTTATGATTGGGAGGTTATCCTGTCTAATCAGACTTATTATTGAGAGTCTGAGTGGGATGCATTTTTATGTTGAACTATGTAATCTTCAAAACCGTAATAGATACCATTGCAGGTTTGAAACAGAAATGAATAGTGTTGTTCAGAGCTATGCATATGTAGAGCATTTTCACTGTTGCTGAATATGAATGATTAAAAAGAAGGTGTTTTTCTTTCACCATAGCAGTATTTTAATTAAATGTATTACAGTCAAAACGATTATCTAAACAGCCCACACCAACTCTGTGTTCTTGATATCATATTGTAAAACACATCTTTTAAAGATATTTATAAAAAAGTATTGTGATATTAATATGCCTATATTAAAGAAATAATGATGAAATAAAATAAAATTGAATCTTGTTATATTTTTTCAAATGCATTTTGAGCCTTAATGCCATTGCAGTTTATGTCCCTTGCAGGTGCACGTGATATTTTGATGCCATTTTAGTGTTTCAGAAAGAGTATTCAGTTTCTTTCTAGGTTTAATTATGTTTGTTTCTTAAAGTTCAATAACTTAAAATTCTTTTCAGATGTTACTGAATATGGAAGGTTCTATGTTGGATTTTTTTGTTTGACCACTCAAAAGCGTTTTTACTTTTTAAATCCTTTGCAAAAGTAATGCTAATTAATTTTGCATCAACTTGAGCCAGATATTGATTTGAAAATCATTTATTCAACTTAAAAAAACAAATTGTGTTTTCAATTGAATTTCTATTTTATTTTGGAGTTTAGGTTTTATGTATTTTCTTGTAACTAGCTAGAATGTCAAGAGCATAATAAGTAGTTAGGTGGAGGTAATACTTTCCTTGTTCCTTTTTATAACTATTATGGTAGTTTTTCAAATTTCATTTCTTAGTTTAAATATAAACATATATGAATTTTTATCCCTTTGATTATTATTTTCCTTTGATTAGGGGATAGACCTGTATTGTCACTTAAGTTCTGTAGAATACAGAACTTAGTCATCCTAGTAAAGGGAGATGCTGGGTGGATGTGGATTTGACATTTGAGATAAAGATTACAGATTACAGATTAAGGGCTGTCTTCTGGGTTGATTGAATTACTGTATGTCTTGTCTTTAAGCTACGCCCTTAGTGTAACTTTGAATTTGTGGTAGGGAAGTTCTATACCTTGATTTTTTTTAGTGCCTTCCTTACTTTCTTCTTATTGCATCACAGATACATACATACATGAATATATTTTCATTCATTCAGCCAGATGTTATTTGACTTCAAATGTATATATCCCACTTTTCTAGAACTTACACTACTTAATCTTGTAGAGGATGACAAAATGTCTTTCTAGATTTAGCTATTCAGAAGTAGATTGAGGAAGAAACTATATAAAACAGTGGTGAATACATAGGAATAATCCACTTACATTTCTTCTAGAATTCAATTTGCTATTATTCTGTTCCTTTCTAAGAAAATTCCATAGGCTTCTATGGAAATTAAGATGGAATAAAGTAGATGATTAGATGATGCAAATATGATCATGGCACTAGTTGTAGAACATATTATTCTGTTTAAAAATTATACACACACACACATAGAAACGTTTAAAAAACTCTTATATGTTAAAGTGAACATTCTTTTCCTAATTCTCACAATTAATATAAAAATATCCTTTATGGGTATAGAATCATATTCTGAAAATTGCTTTTGCTATTTTTTCTTAACATTGTAGAAATCTCTGCACAGATCCACTTCATTATTTTTGATGTTTGTATAATCTATTGTCAGAATTCATTCATTTGTCAGCAAAAAATCCTAACTCAGGGCCCTCTCTGGTGGCGCAGTGGGTTGAAGCACAGCACTAAGAAGCTAAAGCCGCTTCAGCAAGAATTTGATCCCCAGCCCCGGAGGTGATCAACATGGCACAGCAGACCTCTTCTGACCCGCCCGCTGTTCCTCTCAGCAGTGTACTTCATCAGTCTGCCTATTCTGCTCCCCACTGTCTTTGGTGAGTCCTCTCACTGTCCCTGAACCTCTGGCCTGTACCCCAGTTCTATATGCATAAATAGATAATCTTAAAAAAAACAACAACAACAAAAGACCCCTATCTCAGGCTTGTGGAGGCTGCTCCCCAACTGGGAGGTCTGAAGACTAGATTGGTTTTTGGCTTGGCTGGGTGGCTCCAATTGGCTGTAAAACCTGTTTGGTTTTGTGTTTTTCCTTTGATTGGGCACTGGTAAGCCTGAGGAGTTGCTTGTTCCCAGTGTGTAGCATTTCTGCCCTCATTGAGAATAGTTGGGGCCTTTGATTAACTTATTTATGCCAGGTGGAGAAGACCAGTTTGGAGTGGAAAAGGGAACTCTGTTCTTAGAAGTAGAAGGGAGGGCTCTCCCTGGTGGTGCAGTGGGCTAAAGCGCAGCTCTGCCATCTGGCCGCAGCTGCTTCAGTGTGAGCTCCATCCCTGCCCCAGAGGTGACCCACATGGTGCAGCAGACCTCTCCTGACTTGCAGCTCCCCTCAGCAGTGTCCCCTTTGTCTGTTCTGCTCCCTGCTCTGTCTCTAGTGAATCCTCTCACCGCCCCTGCACTTTTGGCCTGTACCCCAGTTCTGTATGCAGCCATAAAGAAATAAATCTAAAAGGAAGAGGAAGGGTTGCTTTGTTTAAAAAAAAAAAATCTGTTTGTCAGAGATAGGTGAATCAGAGCCAGTTCCCCTATTCAGGTTGCTGGTGTCTGATTACAGCAAATAGATAAACAAAAGAATACTCAGTGTAGCAGTGACTTTTCTAGGGTTTTCTGTGGTTAGATTATTAGGTAAAAACTTTTTAGGTTGAGGGTTAGCACTTTTATAATCTTGTATAATCACAAAATTATAAAAATATATTTAGCACTTTTATAATCTTGTTTAAAGGTACATTCCTAAGCCATTGTAATTTGTTTGTATATGGTATGACACAGAACTCTAATTAGCAAGTTCACTGCTACACATGAATATACCAGGACTCCTTGTTCTCTGCCTTCTCACTAGCACTTGTTAGATTCTTTTTTCATATGTGCCAATCTCACCAGTGTGAAGTGGTATCTCACTGTAATTTTTTTAACGATTTATTTATGCATACAGAGCTGGGGTACAGGCCAGAGGTGCAGGGGTGGGAGAGGATTCACCAGAGACAGAGTGGGGAGAAGAACAGGCCAACTGACAAAGTACACTGCTGAGAGGAGCAGCAGGCCGGTCAGGAGAGGTCTCCCGCACCACGTGGGTCACCTCCGGGGTGGGGAATGAACTCATGCTGAAGTGGCTTTAGTTTCTCAGTGCTGTGCTTTAACCCACTGCGCCACCAGGGAGGGCCCCTCTCATTGTAGTTTTAATGTGCCTCAATATAGTCTATTCAATAGCCCATTTTCCCCCCACATATTTGGAATCATACTAAATTCCCACATTTGTCTATTGTTCACTCTGCATTTAAATACTCCAGGCTGATCTGCAGCTGACTGCATATATTTTCTTACAAGATCCACATCATTTAGCACTCAATTAAATTTGATCAGAAGGATCAAATGACTGTTTTGTGGTCATGCGTCAAGATGTTTTTTAGTAATGACTAGGGGAAGTCATCCTGTTCTAGCTTATTTTTCAGAATTGAACTTTTCTTGACTGTTGATCCTTTATCAGCTTTTCTTTATTACAATAAAAAATACAAAACATCAGTTTTAAAGTATACAGTTCTGAGTCTTGATAAATAGCTCTTTTTTTGTAACCACTTCCACAATCACAGTGTTGTTTCCATTACTTAATCAAGTTCCCTCATTTTCCTGTGCAATCAATCCTCTCCCCTCACCCTTGAACCCTGGCTACTACTGATGTGCTTTCTGTCACCATAGTTTTGCATTTTCTAGAATTACATATGAAGAGAATTAGTCTATTTTTTTAAATTCCCTCTGTTGTGTGAAAATGACTGCATTTCATCTTTTCTTGTGGCTACTAATATTCCATGGTATGATCTCTTGATCCATTCTCCTACTGAAGGAGATCCAGGTTGCTTCCAGTGTTGCTGTAATTATTGTAGAACATAGATGCATTTTTGTTGAGTTTATGTTCTGTGGATATATGCTCAAGAGTAGGGTTGACAGATTGTATATTTCTAGTCTTCCTTGTTTAAGGCAAATCCAGATTGTTTCCCATAATGGTTTCACATACTCCACATGAATATGTGCATATTCATATACCATATGTGCATATTCATATGTGCATATGAATATACCAGGGTTCCCTGTTCTCTGCCTCCTCACCAGCACTTGTTTTTTTTTTTGGTTTTTTTTTTTGTATGTGCCAGTCTCATCTGTGTGAAGTGGTATCTCATTGTAGTATTTGTTTTTTTTTTTTTTTAAGATTTTGTTTATTTATGCATCCAGAGCTGGGGTACAGGCCAGAGATGTGGGGACTGTTAGAGGGTCACCAGAGACAGAGTGGGGAGCAGAACAGGCCATCTGATGAAGTACACTGCTGAGGGGAGCAGCAGGTGGGTCAGGAGAAGTCTGCTGCACCACGTGGGTCACCTCTGTGGTGGGGATCGAACTTTCACCAAAGTGGCTGTGGCCAACTTGCAGTGCTGCATCCTAAGCTGTTGTGGCACCAGGGAGGGCACTCTCTGCATCCTGTTTATTAAGAATGATGAGCTTTTTCTTTTTCAGATTTATTGATTTATGCATACAGGGATCTAGCTGTTGCAGCAGTGGCCGCCGATAGCTCTGAAGAGCTTTTTTATGTATTTTGGCCTTCTGGATATCCTCTTCAGTGAATTGTTTGTTCATATCAGTTGCCCATTTGGTATTTCGGTTATTTGTTTTTCTGTGGTTGCACTGTGTGTATTTTATCTATCTTTATTATTAATCCCTCATCATTTATACATTATATAAACATTTTTCCCATTCAGGAGTGTATCTATTTAATGGTCTTGTATTCTCTTTGCTGTCTAGAAGCTTTTTAACTTGAGGCAACTCCAGTTGTCATTTTTTGTATTTACCCCCTTGACATAGGGGGTAGATCTGAATTTCTATTTGGTATTATATTCTGTCTTTATCATTTCTTTTGATACCAGTCTGCTAACAATGAATTCTTCCACTTTTTGTTTATCTGAAAATGTCTTTATTTTGTTTTCAATTTTGAAAGATGACTTGCTGCCTAGAGAATTCTAAATTGGTAGTTTCAGTATTTAAAGATGGTGTTCCATTGTTGTTTGGCTCACATAGTTTGTAAG